TAGTTGTTGTTGTTGTTTCTGTTGTTCCCCGTTGAAGGAAGCAAAAAGGACCGGCCAGGACCCCTTTTCTTTATTTTGTTTACGTTAAAAGTCTTAGATCACTCGCCAGGTCGCTATGTTGTAATTTGCATTGATGTGGTCGTTTTCCCCACCCTGCTTGCAGCTAGAATTGAAGGTCCAGAAATCTCTGGATGGCATGGCCCCGTAAGGAAGACCATGAAATCCACTACAAACAGGTGGTAAACTCCACTTCTATGTTAGTTCCAGGGAGAGTACCACTGCTGGTGTTGTCCCACACCAAAACTCAGAATGGGCGACGGTCCATCCATTTGCACGGTCCATCTGAGTCCATCCATCGCAGAAACGAAGTTCCATGCGCTACTCTCCCTGGAACTAACATAGAAGTGGAGTTTACCACCTGTTTGTAGTGGATTTCATGGTCTTCCTTACGGGGCCATGCCATCCACGTAACCATGTTAGTTCTAGGGAGTGTAGGAAGTCTTTGGTCCAATCATGGTCCTCCCGTGGACGGCCGAGGAGGACGAGGAAACCTCCTCTACGGTGCATGCACGTGGCAGTGGGGGGCCCGACAGATGGACACCGACAGATGAATCCGTTCCACTGTTTGAAGAATCACAGAACAAGGATAGTGATTTGGACTCATCACAACTTACAACAGAATTGCCGGCTAGTGTTCTACCCATCGGTGTGTGCGTTCTTCTTGCCATGTTTGTTTCATAGAAACGAACTGGGCTAGGTCACTCCACTAAGGACCCCCTAAGCCCTTGGATGAGGCCGCTGTGATCGAACTAAAGATTATGACAGAGATCTGATATGCCACGTGTAGCTGCAAGCACCGGCAATTCGACTATGCGAGTCAGTTTTGGGCGGGTCACATGGTGTTGTGGCAGGTGTCGAGACTGTTTGGGGCCCTGTATCAGAATAGGGAGACTCTGCAAAACACACAAGCAAACGCCAGGGGGATCTCACTTTTCAACTATACATAGAACATTAGATGAAACAAATATAATATATACATATATATACATAGACCCTGCTTGTTTGATTTTTCGGACCTTTCAGAACCATTTTGCCCGTCCATGCGGGCGGTTGCTCGCACGCGGATGGATTCAATCGTTTTTGCACGAGGGAGTATCTTATGAACGCAATCCTATGCATATATATATATTTAAAAAATAGTATATATTTTTTCAATCTTATGAACACAATCTTATGAACCCTTTCAGCGCTTCAGAGTCACACTGTCTGGTTGCTGACTGCAACCCACCCCACCCCACCCCCCACCCCCAACCCGCTCATGGGTTTGCGTGGCAGAAGTGTGCTTTGAAAGGCAATCAAAAGTGTGCGTGTGTAAAGATGAGGTAGAAAACGTGTGTGTGTGTGTGTGTAAAGATGAGTTGTCATCTGTGTGCGAATCTGAGTGAGATTTCACGGGGGGGTCTGTGTGCGAATATGAGTTGGATCTGTGTGCGAATATGAGCGGCCTCCCGTCCATGCCGTCCTCTTGCTCCTCAGGTCAGATTTCAGTCGGGGGTGCCCAGACTGAGTGAGAATCTTGCTGTAGAAAAGAGACCTCTAGAGACCCGAAAAAGTCTTTTAACTGTGAATCAAAGGTAACTATAGCAAGCGGAGCATCATTAGTACTAGGAGCCCTAAGCGGTCTCGGAGTCTAAGCCGTCTACGACGCATCTGGACACCTCGGACCGGTGGCCGGTGGCCGTTTCGATCGAAAACGGAGCCTTTTGTGGGCCGGCTGGTTTGCCAAAAGAATCCCCAAAGCACCATGACAACAAGTTGGTTTCAACCAGTCCTGTCTCAACCAGTCGCAGTCTGCGAAAAACCCAGAGAAGGTCGAGCACGAATGTCGATTCCCGCTTTCACCGACCCTCTTGCGGCACCGCCTTCCCCTCTACTTCCCCGTGAGACAAAGAGTGACTCCGAAGAGTCCGGATGACTCGGGAGGCTTCAAGCCAAGCAGAGAGAGTTGGGAAGATGCTCCAACAAAAGGAAGGCGGAAAGATGCTCCCAGTCAGGCCGTCGCTCTCGAAGCCGGTCGCGAGAGAGACGGGGTCAAACGACGGACGTCTGCGTCGTCGGACGGTCGCGTCGGAGGGAAGTGAGGACGGTCCAACGAAAAAAAAGGTCGACCGGATGGGGTCGACCGAATGAGGACTGCATCTATACTTTGCAACTGATTTTCCTACCAAGTGAAGTGATTGAACTTCGGGTCCCTTCGGGTCCTCAGCCTGCGTGTTCAACCTGAAAAAGAGCTGCTTCTGCCGAAGGCGAAGCCGTTTCAGCAGAAACCTCGCTCGGTTCGTTCCTCGCTTCCACGGCCCACAGGGATCCACTCGACAAGCAAGACAAGAGGATAACACGACAAGAGGAGCGGAACTGCGGAGCGGTGGCTTTTTTGGAGCGGTGGCTTGTTTGGTGTCCGGGACGCAACGTCCAGGGTAGGCAATGGTATAGGCAGAAGAATCTTCAGTGACGATGTTGAAGGCGACTAGCTCGTGACGGGGCAGAGGGAGGTTCTGTGTACACTCGCTCGTGGGTCAAAACCATGGGAGGCGGACCTCTATAGTCCATTCTGTCCATGTTGGAGGGTCACTCAAGCAGGGTCACTCAAGCAGCTTTCTTACAAGGTGATATCTTCTCGACGTAATTCAATTAATCAATCATCATCAGGGTCTTCAAGCAGTCGAAGCTCCCAATTCTTGATCTGATGAACATAGATGAACAGTGATGAACATAGGGCTGGTCTCCAGTCAATCCGAGTGAATTCCACATATGGTCATATCGCATTCCCCAGATCTGAACAGACTCCTTGGCTCCAACGGGTGTATTGGAACGGTGAACACAAACAGCACCAGAGTATTAGGGTATAAGTATAAGTGAAATGATACCTTGTGCAGTTCATAGGGGATACAAGTTGTTGACGTGATTCATGATGACTTCTCGGCTTTCCTGTGATACAAAACACATCAAGACACCTGGCACTCAGTGAAGTCAGTACGAACTAGTGCCTCAGCATTCTAGTACTCACCAAGCCTTTTTTTTTTTGATCAAAGGTCAAGCAAAAAGATAAAAAAACACGTCCTACCGACGCTGATGGATCTAGTAAAGTGATAAACCATCAGAACTGAACTCTGGGCTGGCCTCCAGTCAATCAATGTCGATGCCCACCATCTTACTTAAGTTGAATTCTGTATACATCATCACTGATCTTGCACGCCTGTGATGGGTGATTTTTTTTCCATGTCCTCATCCGTACCTCGAGGTCAAGACCCCAAGGTCCGGATTTCGGAGCCCAAAAACCTGTTTCCAACATCGCTCTGTGCCCATATTTTGGATCCTACCGCTGGAAGATGATGGGACGACCGATTTGACTGAGAGGAGCGTCGCCCTCCGATGCCAGGATGAGGATTCAGACAGCGAGAGGCGGAGAAGGAGTGGTAGGGCGGTCTGCAGACGGTGAAAGGAAAACCTCAACCTGAGATCAGGGACCCTCCAGCACCTGAATCAGACCACACCGGAACATCTCCCCCTTCAGCACTCAGCACCCAGCCTTCAGCGCCTTCTCCCGGCCGGAGATCAGCGAAGCGGCCCCAGGCCACTCCAAGACACAACCGTAGATGGGCAGAACAGTTCAATCACTTCAAACCACCCCAAGACCCCTTCCACCCCAGGCCACTCTTTCTGCTTCGTTGCGCCTGCCAGAAGGGACGAAACAAATCAAAGCCTGACAACGCACCATTTTTTCAAGAAGTCGCTGTCAACATTGAGCTTTCAGATGCTTTGGGATGCTTTAGGGTACAGTGACTGACTTTGAATATGTTGGTCCATTTACTACGTACCGTTGCTGGAAGAAGGTCGCTGGCACCACTGGTACCACTGGTGGTTTCACCCGTGCTTTTCACCAGCTGCTTGAGGTCGGTCGTTCACTTACCCGTTTCTCACCCGTTTCACGTGGCCAGGGACCGGCGGGGGATCGACGACTTGGATGAAGAGTTGGGCGAGGAGTGAGGCGGGGCGGGTCCGGGGGATGGGGACGAAAAGGCCACCGCGATGGACTGGAAGGCCCCGGACGGAGGTTTGCTGGACCCATATTTGCGTGGGATATCCCCTTTGCAGATCATCCTAGTGAATGGCAATCTTGTGAGTGAAACATGCGTTTTCAGCAGTACCTCGTTCAGATGCCTTTTCCAGGCCTTGTTGTGTTTGTCGACCCAGACTCTTCAAGACCTTCGTACTGTACATACAGCTCCCTACTCATTGTGTGGGGTGGGTGGGTTAACCCCTTGCGGCAGATCGCATCAGATCGCCCTCCGCCGGAAGGGCTTCGTCACGGAGCCTTCGACCGTACCTTGAGGCTCCGCCAGCTAGCGACGCTCTGACGGCGCAGACAGATGCTGACAGACATGGCACGCAGATGCCCTTCCGGCCGGACAAAAAGATTAGCAGGTGGCTTCAAGGTCTCTTTCTTTGGCCATACTCTGAAGATCTACATATTATATATCCACATTTGTGAAGACCAGAAAAAGAAGCGCGAAGACTGAAGACGCATCCATTGACTGCATGGGATAATTATAGAGGTATAATGGATGGAAACAGTCTTTCCCGCACCTGGGCATGCTATTCACTTTGAGTGAGTCAGGGAGGTTCACGTTCACTCGCGAGCGATTGAGTCTTTGGTGGCGTGAGGCTTGTTGGGGCCACCGAAGAGGCATTGGGGTAGCTAGAATCAGATTTTAGATGATTTTAGAAGAGACCGCCAGTGGGGGCACCAGCTGGGGGAAAACTTAGTTAGACCAGTTCAACTCTAAACCTGGCCGTGGCCGAGAACTTCCTTTGGAACCCCCGGCCACAGCTGCTTGTCAAGTCATCCACCATGTTCCATCCATCGAAACGCGGCAGACCGCGGTGGTTTCGTATGACTCGGTGGCGGTCCTGGGTGGTTGGCCGGATGCCATGTGCAGGAGCCGGTGCTGACGTCATGTGGGGGCCAGGCGGCAGATCTCCGACGGGAAGATGGCGTGTCCTGTTCCGAAAATCGAAGCCGCCTGAGACAACAGCAGCTAGTACTGCCCAAGGAGTGTGAGGTTGGATGTCAGAGGTAGGGTGCTAGGTTTTCCAAATTACAAGCGTTTCAGCACTTCCCGTGATCCATTCCATGCCTCAAAAAGTGCCCTCACCTCCAAACCTACCAGTCCAGAAGCTGGCAGAACTGTTTTGGTAGAGGAAAGATTACCGCAACTTGGAGAACCTGAGTCATACTCCAAGATCTTCTCAACCATACCTGGTCTGAGTCCTAGAGTGATGATGATTCTATTCAACGCCGCTCGATCACGAGCGCGATCCGGAATCCGGACCCTCGCACGACCTCGACGCTGGGGGGCACACACTTATGGATATGCATACGGAACTGAAAGCGGTGCCACACGCCAGCCTAGGTTAAAAAAACCTGAGTAAAACAAGGTGCAAAAGTTGGGGGTCATC